AATTTTCGGAACCCACATATTTCTGACGACTCCGTTGAGGAATGTTTCTCTTTCCATCTTTAACTAGTCATATATTTGTTATAATAGCAGCTTTAAAATTTACAAAATATAAAAAATGCAATCGCTTGAAGTTTGAGAGTTATATTTGGTGAGTATCAGCGCATGTCCAATTTATTTTAATTCAAAAATCTATATTGAAATGTTCCAATAGAATAATAAATTGCCTGGTGATTATCAGGGCATGATCTATGATTCTCAATCTAGGAATCTGCCTTTAAATGGTCCCAACAAAACGACAAATATTGAATAGGTGAACATCGAGACATGAAATTAGAGCTCAAACTAAAAATGTCTACAAAAGTTCCCAACCAAAAGATAATCTTTGACTTGTGGATCTCAACCAAGGATCTACCGCTGAAAGGTCTCAATAAAAAGAAAATCTTACTCTTGTGCACATTTAGGGTATGATCTTTGGATCTCAATATAGGAATCTACCATCGCGAGTCACAATAGAAATGTCATCTCTGTTCTGCGGCTATCAGGGTATGACATATGGATCTCAACTCGGGGGTCTACCGCCGAAATGTCCCAAGAGAAAAATAATGTATGTTTGGTGAGCATCGGGGTATCTCCTATGAATCTCAACCCAAGGATTGTTGCGAACATGGAAACTGGTTCACTGTTCAAATTGACATTTTCTCATGTTTGGCAGCAAATTAGATTTGAAACTTGAAATTAATTGTTAAATTAATTGCTCTCAATTCCTTCTATGATTTGCTGCAGAAGATAGATTTGAAACTTGAAATTAATTGTTAAATTGATTGCTCTCAATTCCTTCTATGATTTGCTGCAGAAGAGAAAAAAAATAATTAATAAGTTTTAATAATTATTTGATTAATTTTTTAGTGGGTCTAATGGCATGATGAAATTAATAAATAGGTATGCTAGCTCCCCTTGCTATCCCTCTTCGGCATTGGTAGCTTTCCAGGTTCTTCTTCTGGTGTGTTTCGATTTAAAGCTCTCAGGTAGAGAGAGAGAGAAGAAGAGGAGATGAGAGAGAAAGAGTATTTTCTTGTAATCATCGGAGTGATCGACAAGTGTTATTCCCCAAGCTAATAAAATCCTCTGCAGTTCTATGAATGTAGGCAATTTGTCGAACCACGTAAATCTGTGTGTCCCGCTATGTTTTATATTTTATAATTTTTCTCGATCCTATTTTTTCGCTTTATTATCATCGTTTTTCACAACAACTGGTATCAGAGCTCAGTATCGAATCTGAGGGAAAACGATGATCAGAGATGATGTGATGACATCGGGAATCGAGAAGTTTAATGACACATATTTTGGTTATTGGATGATGCAGATGATGCAGATAGAGGACTACGATAGAGGACTACCTCTATAAAAAAGAAATTTCATCTTTCGTTACTGGGAAAGCGACCGGAAAAGATGGATTTTCTGCCATTGAATCAGACTTTGGAGCTGACAGAACTTCCACCAGGGAAGATGACATTGAAAAATAAGTGTGTGTACCGGGTGAAGACTACACTTGATGGCAGTAAGAAGTACAAGGCTAAACTTGTTGAAAAAAATTTTCAGCAAAGACAGAATATTGCCCATGCAGTGAGAGTTGTAAGCAGAAAAATGAGTAACCCAGGAAAGAGCTTGGAGGTGCAAAAATATGTTGACGAGGATATGTCGACTAAGGGTGTTACTCTTGGAAACTGAAGCTGCGTTCGACTTCAGTTGGTCTTCTGGCATGAAGACCGAGGTTTTAAGTTGCAGAGGTGGAGGATGTCACGTTTGAAGAAAAGTGCGACACAGCTAGCGAATGATGCAACTTGTGTACCAGTCTCCAAGTGGGAGATTTGTTGCGAATATAAAAACTTATTCACTATTCAAATTGACATTTTCTCATATTTGGCGGCAAATTAGATTTGATACTTGAAATTAATTGTTAAATTAATTGCTCTTAATTTTTTTTATAATTTGTTGCAGAAGAGAAAATAAAATAATTAGTATTTGATTAATTTCTTAATGAGTTTAATGACATGATAAACTCATTAAGAAATTAATAAATAGGCATGCTAGCTCCCCTTGCTATCTCTCTTCGATATTGGTAGCTTTCCAAGTTCTTCTGGTGTGCTTCGATTTGAAGATCTCAAGTAGAGAGAGAAGAAGAGGAGGAGAGGAGAGAGAATGAGTACTTTCTTGTAATTATTGAGGTGATCGGCGGGTGTTATTCCTCAAGCTAATAAAATTCTCTACAGCTCCGTGGATGTAGTCAATTTGTCGAATCACGTAAATTTGTGTGTGTCACTGTGTTTTATATTTTGTATTTTTTCTCGATCTGGTTTTTTCGCTTTATTGTTATCGTTTTTCACAACAGGGATCTACCAGCGAAAGGTCCTAACAAAAAGATAATGTCTTTCTAGACTAGTCGCCACCTTCATGGTATGAATCTAGCATGAATCTGGGTAAATAATCTAACACCAGTCTAAGCCTCCAGTAAAATCACCTCACCATCACACTTATTCTTCTAATGTATGGTAATATTTCAACATTTTTCCATGCATGCTAGGCTTTGTTTGTGGGGTTAAATATTACAATATTTACTTTGATTATAATATTAAATTATTCCATAGATACAGCTTTAATTTTTAACAACACACAAGGATTTCCACCATTGGTAGAAGAAAATAAAACCAATGTAATTTAAATTAGTTCCTTTTTTGACGACTTTGTAAATAAATATGAATAAAAACCATATAATTCATAGGATACAAGGGAAAAACTATTCTCTCAGAATTTACAGTTTTTATGGTATCAAGCGAGGTTTCAAACCATAATACAAAATTCGGTGTAGATCATGGCATACCATGAAGGGTCGAGAACTAAAGAGCTCTCCTTCACTGAGAAGTAAGACCTTCACTAACGTTGGCCATGAATCAAACTTTTACCCCTTGTATTGAGGTCAATCCCTCAAAATCACTCAATAAAAAATTAATGAAATTAATTTTCGTGAATAGTTCCAATTTAAATATGCATTGAATTAAAATTCTTCAGAAGCAGAGAACTCATTTCTCATTGCTTGACTCATAAAATTCCAAAGGAATTCAGGATGCTATCCAAAGGATCTACCCTGACCTAAAAAGCATAGTCTAGTGCTTTAAAATTGCATTTAAAATCACAAATTTCCGTGACAAGTTGCCAACACTATCACTGAATATTACAACTCCTAAACTGAATTTTAAAAGGAAATGGTTATTCTTTGAAATCAAATGGAGTTGCTCGAACTAGATGAAGTTTGGGAAAAGCAGGGTGAAGGCTATATTTTTTTTCTGAAGAGGATAGTTAAATCTTACCATATTTCATTTTCAATTATATTTGCAATCACATGACCTCATCTTCTTTTAAATCATATCTTCAATAACCATCCAAAAGTTGATATACTCATATCTTGCCTAATCAGGTTGTGTCCTGCCTTTCTAAATGAACCAAACAATACTCTAAATTGACTGACCCTACCCTAGAGTAACCCTGCCAACTTAAACAACCCAATAAATCCAAACATATAAAGCAACCAATATCATGAAACATGATGGATGGATGAAATAAAATAAAATGAAATGAAAATATGGCCATGAATCCTGGATCTGGCAAATCACAACATCATATTTATTCCGGCAAAAGCATGTCAATCATTCCTCGCCTTAGAACCTCCAAACTTTCAGATATCTTTTAGAAAAACTATTTGAGTGTATCAAAAAAGAATTTGTGAAGAAAAGCTTCTACTGATGATGGTGTACACAATGTTTTTCTTCACCTTCATTCTCTTCATGGGTTAGTAATTCTGATGGATTTCCCTCATCTCTTCTTCTTAAGGTTATATTTCCATCAAAATAGATTTCACTGAATAAAAACTAAAGCAAAAGGCCATCCAATTCATCCTCTAATAGCATCCAAATTCTCTAAAGTATAAGACTTCATTGGAATGATTTATGCTTTTCTACTTTGCTATTAAAAGCTAGTTTCTCAAATGCAAGTCCTATTATGTTTTCCCAAAAGCAGCTTTTCTAACTCAGAATTTAGGAAAAAGGTGAAAAAGTTTACATACAAAAGGACTCTACTTTTGTTAGTGGCTTTTCCTAGAACAACGTTAAGTTTTTGTAACCAGAAAAACTTGAAGTTGAGGAGAATGGATTACATATTATTATTCGCATACTTGTCAATGAAAATAATGCAATATAAAGTAACATAGAATTATAGCATATGGCATAGTGTGCACTAAGTTAAAAATAGAATAAATCATAAAAAAATAATAACTATTTAAAATTCAACAGTATAAAAGATAAAGGGGCATTTACCTATGTATTTACAAATCTAACAGCTAAATTTTACTCTTTGCATTTATACCATTCAAATCTTTCATATCAAATCAAAAATACCACCATTTTAACTTTTAGAGAGTGAAATACAAATAAGCTAGACCTAAATGAAGACTCGTTTTATTTTGCTTTAGAACTAAATTGAATGTTGCAAATTATTTTATACACGAGGTTCGTTCTTGCAAAGATAATCTTGCCAAAATAATTTTAAGGAAAAAAAGACAGAAAAAAAACAAGCCTGTGAGTGCATAGATTGCCATATTTTGCTCACAAGTGCCTTATTGCACCATGACATGAGAGGACATCTTTATATGCTATTAGCTACAGTGCAAGCTGTTTTTGCCCTACAGCCGGGCTAGTTCAATCATGTCATAATTTCTTAAGCTTACAAATTACTGAAAATCAAAGCCTCGCGGGGCAAAAACAATCATCCTTAACCGATATTAATTCAAGAACAATGAATTACGAAGAACTTCTTATTTCAGCTGTAAATATTTTGTTTAGAAACAAAATGAGCCCGAATTTCCAATGAATGCAAACCCTAGCGTATGCTTCAGCTTGCTAGAAGGTACCATATGGTAAGTAAAGCTCGGGAAAGAAGAAAAATAATACGTGTGCGTTCACCGTTCGATGAAGAAAGGAGGAGGAATCCTTTGCTTTAGGCCTCGGAGGGTAGACGTCGAAGGGCTTCATCAGAAGCAGCACTCGCCGCCTAGCCATGGCTGTCGGCTGGACTATCAGCTGCAAACTGTAGGATTTAAGGGTTTGATTGCAAATATCTTTTTACTCTTTTGTTGCTTTTAGGCCAATATCTTATTGCTCTGGATTTACTTTAAATAGTATTAATAAATTTATTTTGAGACAAAAAAACTTCAAACTCATGGAATGATAAATCTAACAACATCGCCGTCTGCAACTCAGATCTAATAAATTTGGATTTAAGTCGTGAAGAATATAAAGTGCGAGGAAAAATAGACAGATGCGAGAAAATTCGATATAACGGAGTGTTGGATTTAAGGCTTAGGTTTTTTTCTGCAATTGATTGGATTTAAGCTAAATTCATTCTTAAATCCGCCTACTAAAAGGCTGCCAAACATCTCCTTAAAGTTAAATTTAGGATTGTAATTACATTTTATTTAATGACCAATAAAAAACATTTGTTTTAAACAAAAAATAATAATCTTTTATCTTTAAATAAAATTAATTTTCAATATTTTGTTTTATTATATTTATTTAATATAGAAATAAATCATTTTTAATAAATATTCAGTGTGATATAGCATTTTCTAATTAAAACAATTCTAAGCAAAATAATACAATTGCATTAAATATTTGATTTTAATTAAATAAAATATTAATTTTTTAATATAGTATTCATATTATTATATATTAATACTTATGATAATGGTATCAAAAGATGATAATTTAATAACTTTTAAAAGGTTACACTTCCATCAATTTGTGTTGAATTGAAATATAAAACAAAAAAATAGCTTTCATATTATTGAAAATTAAAATTTATTTAAAATTATTATATGATGATCAAATTAATAGCTCTTGTATGTATTGGACATTTATATTTAGTTTAATAAATATATCTGAAGATTCATTTTGGATTAAATTATTACCAATGAAAGGCCGCCTTACCAAACAATTTATTTGACTCATAAGTTTTTAGAACTTATTTGAATGAATGTGAACACACTAGAAAATGACTCAAATGTGATTTCAAATTTGAAACTTGTTTTGAACCAAAATTCAAAAGGATTCAAATCTTAATTCAAATTGTGATCTATCACCGCATACTAGGTCCGTATCATGAATTCCTAATCTCTTTTATGTGTCATAAGTTCTGTCAATGTATACATTCCAATGGCTTCAATCACAAACTCCTCTTCTTCACTAGTTAGCTTCTCGATGTTTACCCTATTGAGATCCCATCAAGCTAACGCTGCCTAGCCTAATTTAAACCCAACTAACCTGCTATGACCCGATAATATATGAAATTAACGCGATTAAACATGGTCATTAATCCCATTGTATCCAAATCAGTTAGACATACTTAGATTAGCCTAGTTGAGTCTTGGAACCCTAGTTAGCCTATTTGGGTCCATCTAGACTAATAAGATCAAAACCATCAAATTAGCCCATTTAATTTAACCTATATATTTCATTGAGTGAATAGATTGACCACAAGTAAAATGAGCCTAATTAACCCTTGATTTGGTCAATTAGTTTATCAAAAACCAAGTTGACCCAATTGAAACTTAAAATGTATTTTGAACATTTTTATCGAATAAGTGTAATCAAAACTTTTCATTATGATTTAATCGACTATATATATTTACCTAAAGCCAAATTGATTATTAAATCAACCCAATTAGCCAATTAGTCTTCTTAAACCCATATTCGGATACATTGATGGATGAGATCAGTTGAGCTTGAAATAACCCACCCAGATGATTTAAACATGTTAACATACATCCAAATTGCTCCTTACTTAGCCAATTGAACCAATTTATCCTATTAAACTCAATTCAACCCATTAAGTCATTTCGATTAAAATGGCTAGATTGAACTTCACCGACCATCCCAGTTGATTCTTATTGGTTAACCATGAATCAATTGAGCCAATTATTTGCTTGGATTATGAAAATATGCTGCACATATTAGTTACTCGATGATATGATGGTAGAGCTTCAAATAATGAGATGTCACAAAAGAAAGAATAATAAATAAAAAATCAAAGAAGAAAAAATAAAAGAAAAATTAAACAATCTCAAGGAACATGATTGTGTAGTTTTTACCATTGTTTAGTAAAATAAACATTTTTGTATAGTTAACATCGGAAGTTTCATTATTCATATAAATATGATTACAACTATAATCGTTAGCGAGGAATCAATGTACATTTTATTTGAGCTAGGAAAAGGAAGCTTTGACTCTAAAAAATGATTGAGAATAATTGAGTTAATTCTCTTACAGGGATTCATTTTTTCTTTAATATGTTTATTATCTCAACTATAAGTTCCCTCTTATTATCCCCCCTTTCTCTTTCACCCTGCCCTGCCCCTGCAACACATACATGTCACCCTTCCTATGTTTCTTGGCAATGGCATCATTATTGGAGTTAGGACATGACTTACGACTGCTGAGGATGAAACACGGTGTCTGGAGCGTTAGGAAATCAAAAAGAGTAGGTTGGTCTTGTTGAATGCAGAGTCTCAAAATGTCAATGTTGAATGGACAAAAGTAAGAAGAACAGAAGTCGAGAAGTACCTAGAATGAATGTTGACTTATAAGGGATTCTGACATGTCATACCATTTGAGGCTAAGGTATGAATATGATTTGTTAAGGCACGACATGATGTATACTATTTATGACATCAAAGAGATGACTTGGATCATACCAAAACTAACATGGGTTAGACCAATATACTATATAATTTGGTGGATAGTTATGTTACAAATACACCACAATGTAGTTGTTATGACCAAAGTTTTGTAACTAGTTTTTTTTCATATATTCAAAAAAAGGGTGGATACAAATATCTTTTTTTCTGATAAAAAATATGGAGATGGAAGAAAAGTTTCTGTTTCACAGGACCCTGGCGAGTGGTCGACCCTTCTTCATTGCCCAAATCATCCTCTCCGTCAGAATTTTCAACCGGCTCATCTTGGTCAGAGTGGATAACTCATTATAGTCAGAGAACATAGAATCAACCATGTCATGATAAATAAATTACTGAATATATCCTAATCGACCCCAAGTTTAAGGCCGCTACGATACTGAGGGATTCCTTATTGGCCCTGATGGAATTGTTGAACTTGAGCTCCCACATGTTTCGATCGTCATGGGTCCTTTTTAGATCAACCTCCAACAAGGTCTATTTCTTCTTAGCTCTTTCCAGTGACAGATTCAGATTGATCAAGGCTAACCCTAGAAAATGGGCGGTTTGCACCGCCATCAACTACCATAGATCCACATTTTGGAGAAGCACTTTTCAACAAAAGCCTCTCATAGTATGGTTGAGTCCCTCAGACCGTAACAGGTTCAACAAAGCTGGGGGCAGTTCCTTGTTGTTGTTCGTCTATGGGTATCAGTCTAAAAACTGATCCAGCAGAAGGAACCGCTTATGGGCCCCTTGACATATCATTTTGGCACTCCTACGCATGGCCTCCCACAGGAAGACCCTCTTCTTTCTCTTAAACAAAGAGGGGAGGGAGTGGGACATCTGCTTCCTCCATCGGCTCCTTTCCTCACCGACCTACCTCTATTCCCTCGAGCGAAGGCGGGACCTGACCTCTAGAGGATAAAATTATTCTGTCAAGGAGCTAGACGTGGCAGACGAGGAGGCCTGGTTGGCCTTGTCCCTCTCAGACAAGAGATTGAATGAAGGACCCTTGACCTGGGAATCCGTCAGAGCGACGACAATTGGTGACGTGCTAGTCTGCGCGTCAACTCTAGAAGAAGAGGGAGTTGTAGCTGCAATCTCTTCTGGAGCTCCCTTGGAAGCAAACACTCCTCTATCACCTTCCTCTGCGTCAACAAGATGAGAAGCATGTTTTTGAGGAACAATAGTGACCTTGTTAGTCATTGTGTCTTGAATGACAACAATAGTTTCAGACACGGAGAAGTTGTTCCTTGAGGCTGCACCGTTAGGAAGCAGATCCTCCACTTATACGGAGTTACCTAGTGTCGAGGGACGCTTCTACTTATGAAGTTTAACGGCGAGCTTCTCCTTCACTGCCTTCACTCATATATGCTCATTGACATCAGAGAGGCGCCACAATTCCTCCATCATCTTGCCCGTCAGCACACGGGTAACCTTTGCCTCAGCGGTGTATTGGGGGACCCAGATGTAACGACCAATCAACATTGCCTGACCGACCTTCCATGCTCTCTGAAATGGGACTTCAGCCTGCTCACTACTCTCTCTCTGACAGTTTGATTCGGATTACCAGATGCTAGAACAAGAGCCGACAAAAAAATTATTCTTCCAATACTTTATTTTATTCTCTACTCCCAACAAGTGGAGCTTTTTGCCTCTTGAGAACATGGCAAATCCCTTACTATCGACCTTAAATGAAGAGAAATGTGTGAATAGTTCAATCACCAGGAGATGTGCTCCCGATGACTATAGAGGATGAAAGTCATCACATTTACTAGGAGTTCAACAGTATCTATGCTGAAATAACCCCGCATGTTTTGAAGGCGCTCTGAAGCTCACCACATAAAGGCAATCAGAGGTAATATTTGACTCCCGATGACTATAGAGGATGAAGGTCATCACATCAACTAGGAGTTCAACAGTATCTATGCTGGAATAACCCCGCATGTTTTGAAGGCGCTCTGGAGCTCACCACATAAAGGCAATCAGAGGTAATATTTGAACTGGTCCCTATAAAAGACCAGATTGTTCCCCACCAAGTCTGTCGCTTGAGCCTCTCCCGAAAACTTCTGAAGCATGGCGCTGTCATCCAACACATATCTCATATGCAACTCCTTCACTCTGCTTTCTAAAAAAAATGAGTGATCAACACCCCTGATGGAGTCGAAGAGGGTTGGGGAGTACTTCGGGGTGATTTCCAGAAATGATAGAAGAAGGAATATCAAAAGCTCAGAGGCAAAAATTGGAATACGTAAATTAAGAAACAATGGTTTTGTGCCCTGTTTATAGAGCGAACAAGTAAAATGAAGTCTTGCGTTATGATAAGGGTCACACCAAATGTCTTTTCAAATTTATTCAAATGTCATTTCATTTTGAATGCCTCAGTCGAGCCATATCCCTTATGCATTAGTCTTCAAAGGACTATCGCCCCATCTTTCCTAATCTGCTCTAATCGATCAGCCTTGCATTGGAACTTGCATATGTTCATCGACTCGTGAAGTGCTCTCAACTCGTTATTCATATGTTCATCGACTCGTGAAGTGCTCTCAACTCGCGCAACACCTCGTCTAGCCCTTTCCGTAAAGTGGCAAACTTCACCCGCAGGGCCACTACCTCCGAGCTCTGGGTTGTCGGAGGAGCTGGTTGCTCCTGCACTAGCCCTATGATTGACCCTCTAGTCGCCCCAATTGAGCGGCCAGTAACGTTTGAATGAAATCCCACAAAATCATAAGGCAGCTTCCGATAGTCATATGGAGCCTGATGAGAAGCCAACATAAGGGGACCAAACGAAGACATAAGTTCGGGTTGCAGGCACTCCCCTTCACTGGTCAAGGTTGAAAGCATGACAACCACCCTCTGAGGCTCGACTGAAACATTAAGGACCGACTCGGTTGCATCCTTTAGCGGTCCTCCGTCCAAGTGTCCTTCCGAACCAACGGACTCACCTGCATTAACATGATAATAACTAAATAAATTAATTAAAAAAATTTACATACCCATAAAACTATCCATCAAAGAAAAAATGTGGAAAGGCTTCTCTCCCCCTCATACCAGGCACCTCTACGTTCTTACAGTAGCAGTAGAAGAAAGATGTTGATCTTCCCCCACTCCGACCTCTTTCCACCCTCTTCAGTGTCTTTAGTCAGCTGGGCTTTCCGACCTCATAGCTCACAACTGTATCGGGCTGAGGGTCCACGGTCTCATGAATAGGGACTCTCGATGCATATTCCTTCGGATTCCTAGACGAGTTAATTCGATCAGCCGACACAAGTTCGACCATCGACCATTTCCTTTTCTTAATTTTATCCTTCTTTTCCAAATTTGGTAGTCTGTAGCCTACCTTTGCTAGAATTTTGGGCCCAAAACAGTCCAGCTCAAACCATCGACCATTGTCCAACTCAATTTTTCAAGGCAGAGTAATGGCAACAGATGCAATGTTTATCTTATGACTCTATTTATAGAGCATTCTGGGCACATAATCCAAGGAGAGTTACTCATTAAATTGTTTTTTTTATTCTAGTCCCATTGAACACTAATAATTTTCATGTCCTTATCGTAGATGTAGTTTTCAATGAGCAAAAAAAAAGGGAACTGTTATGTATGCACCAAAACTGTCAGCACGAATCACAAGTAGTCGAACGACTTGGATGGCAGTCACACAATTAGGGCATACTACTGTCATACAAGCGACCGCGTCATTATAATCGACCGACACACTTTTGCAAGAAATTCATTATAATCGACCTTTGATCGCAAGCTAGTCATTGCATTCTATGAGGTCTCAACCGATCGATATTTACTTCGAAAGGCAGGGACGCCATTCAGCTGGTCGTCTCGACTGATCGAATTCAAGCTGACCGACCAACAAATTACCATCATATTATAATTCAAATTATAAACATATATTTTATAAAATCTATACGATTAAGTATAACATCAATTGTATTAAGAATGATTTTCATAACTTTTCCATCCCTTCTGTAATTGTACAAATGTGCCCCTATAAATACTAGATAAGAGGACAAATAAAGGGGCCGCTCCCCCTTCTCCCTACAGTGAAGCTTAACTTATTACCTACTTCCTCTTTCCTCCATCTAACTCATCTCTCGAGACATGTTTATTAAGGACAATTTAAGATTCAATAGGCATGTCAAACAATTCAATAAGCATGCAAGTCAAATATAAACAATTTTTTGAGTTTGATTAATGAGCCGAACACGAACACATATTTGTTTATTCGCATTCGGCTTAATTTGACTTGAAATAATTAAATAATAATATTTATTTATACCCTTTTTATATCCTTTTTATATGCATTTGGATAATAAAATTATATAAAATATAAGGTGGTCTTAGATACGTAAGCATAAAGAAATTGTTGGCATGCATGTAAATTTCCTTAAAATATAGCTGATCCTGTTGTACTGCATTCCTCAATAGGTGTTAAATATGTAAATACACATGATTTGATGAATTAGTATGTAAATGCTCCTTAAAAAGCTAAAAATCCTGCGCTACTGTAATTTAAATGATGCACATGCTTAGACTGGCATGCATGTAAACTGAGCGTCCGTTTGAGACAGTTTATAAGTGTGGGCGACAGCGTTTTGAAAACACCGCCGTACCGTTTGGTTCGCGCGTTTCGCCAGCTTATCCGAAACTGCGTTTGAGTTTTTACACTAAATGCGGGCCGCGGGCCGCGTTTCATGATAAACAGCTTATCCTGAAACGTACAAGCTGCCCCAAACGGACCCTTAGCGGGGGTAAATATATTATATTATAAATAATTGAAAATTTTAATTAATTTTTCTTAACATCATCGTTCAATATAAATAATTAAAAATTTTAAATCAAGCATGTTTAATATGAATATTAAAATAACATCAATCAAAACCTAATATTTTAATATTTAACAAGCAGATGCAAATAAAATGAAAATTTTTAAAAAATATGGACACATAATTAGCCATTTTTTAAATAATGACATATTATCAATTATTTTTAAAAAGAAATGCACATTGCCACAAATCAGAAGAATAAATGAATGAATCTAACTCTTGAATTAGTTGAGTAAGAAATCAGCTTATATGGATGTTAGAGATGCTAAAGAGGCCAAGCGGAGCGAGCCCTTAAGCGAGTCAATTGTCTGTCGGTAACATAATCGAAATGTCAAGATCGTCAGTTTATGTCGAAAACTTGATTGTTGGTCAGTCGTCCATTAATTGTTGGTTAAATACCTAGCAAACACAAACCGTCGGTCCATGCCAAAAGAAAATAATAAAAAAAAACATCGGGTGCTCTCAGTTAAACTCGTAGGTCTTATAACCAAAGTTATATCCCGATGCTGTTAAATTCATAATAGTGTTTGGTTTCATTAAGATTAAATTTAATTTTATGTGCTCGACATATTTGACATGATCTTTTAAAATTCAAAGAGAATTAATTTGCAAAGAATTTAACATGAAAAACAATACTAACATCATAATAATGTATAAAATGCTAAAAAAATGAATGTGCTATGATAAGTTTCAAAAATAAAATTAATTGTTGGTTGGAGCTGATAAAAAATAATATGTTGATAAGTTAGGTGCGGTAGCTATTATAATTTTTTATTTTTTTGAAAAAGTCAGATCACGGCCAGAAAGTTGTCACCGCACCTAGGTATGTGCGGTGTGAAAACGCTGTTTTCAACATTTTGAAACCACGACTAGAAAGTTGTCACCGCACCTAGGTATGTGCAGTGTGAAAACGCTGTTTTCAACATTTTGAAAATGTATAAGCTGTCAAAATACAATTTACCTAAACAGCTCAATTGCGTTTTCAAAATGTCACCGCACCAAATAAACTGTCCCAAACGGAAGTGAACAAAAGTTACAAAGCACTAGAGCAAACATTGATTTTATATTTGCAAAATATTACTGTCAATGTTGCTCCCCCTCACCAATTTCATGGTATATTATGTGGCACCGAATAACATCAACAAACTTAAAGAAAATCCAATAAAAAATAGCATAAAGAAACTATTGTTAACTTTACAGTCAAAATTTTTATTTAGCCTCGAAAACTTGGACTTCTTATCGAACCCAATGATACTCAATAAAGAAATAATTAAATTAGTCACAATTTAACTTAGTTTGCAATTTTAAATTTTAGAATTAACTTTAATTTTTAGGTCCCGTTTGGGCAGTTTATTTGGAGCTGTGCGTTTTCAAAACACACCCAAACCCATTTGGGCAAACCGCGTTTTTATAGTTTTTCAATCAATTGAAATCAGTATTTTCACATCATTTTTGGCTAGGTGCGGTGATACATTTATAGCTACGTGTCACCTCCCAAAAGTGCTCTTCGGAGTGTTGGACAATCTAGGACTTAAATATTGTTCTTCAGGTCGACATTTAGCAGATGTGAGATTTTTTATTCGTGACATTCTTCTCCACCCAATCACCTGACACCCTCGTCACAGACCGACTGGACCTTGGAGAGTCCACTGGACCATTATGGAGAGTCCATATACCTGACAGACAGTAATATGCTTTGATATCACTTGTCACTTTCCAAAAGAATTCTTTGGGGGTGGTGAGCAACTCAAGACCTGATGTGAGACTTTTTGTCTATGACATACGACTGTCTTCCAAAAGAATTCTTTGGGGTGGTGAGCAACTCAAGACTTAAATACTGCTCTTCGGCCGTACACCTAGCTGATGTGAGACTTTTTGTCTATGACATACGACTG